GAAACAAGATGTTCGAGCATCCTAGATTCTGCGTATACCAATCGCTTCTGAATCTCCACCACCCGTCTGCTACGTTTGTAAGGTAGCAGTTGGGAGATGACACTCAAGATCCGTGAGCCGGAATTCCACCAATCCGCCAAAAAATGAAAATCCCTCCGTGCTCTTTCCCAATCTTTCCAAAATTGCTTCATCCATTCAACAAGCCCTGGGACTTTGAGATTCTCAATGTTAAAACGAAACACACCTTTACCCCTTTCGATATTATTTATATGCAGAACAAGGATCACTGGCTTATGATCAGAGAGGTAGTGGGCAGATTCTTGAATTGTGTCCACTGATTGCCAAAGCACAGAGGAGATAAAAAAGAAATCTAACATGCGTTTAGTGATACCGGTATTCTCACGATGATGGGAATACCAAGTATATCCGGGAGAGTCCGGATGTGATAGGCAATACGGATCGACCACCTCTAGTTCGTCCATGGTATTAACAAGGTCCACTTTATCTCTGATGCTCCTACCAGAGAGATTGTCCAGGGATGAATTCCAGTCCCCGACAAGCACAAGATGATCTGCTTCAGGAATAACTAACAAAAGATTTTGGAAAAATTTAGCACGAAGACACTCGTCTGTAGGGGCATAAATAGAAGCAAAAACTCAGTACAAATTATTGATAGTGCACTTCACCCAAGACCACCGACCCCATAAATCTGAGTAAAAATCCACAATTTCCAGCTCTGCCTTCCTATGCAACAAAATTGCAGTACCCCCCTTGGAGCCCACTGTCAGTGCCCATATTTGAGGGTCATCCCACCAATTAGATAGGCCTGCATTTTTTTCTTCGGAAAGTTTAGTCTCTTGCAGGCACATAACTTGGATGTTCTTGTCAAATATCTACGTTTTTAGGCTCTCTCTCTCTGACGCCCTGTTCCATCCCCCAACCCTCTAACGTTCCAGGAAGCAAACCTAATTTTGCGCATTACAACCCAGGCTTCCGCCAACAGATTGGATGTGGGGCAATCCCTGAGGGGCAGGTAACCAAGCGGAAGTCAGAGATGACCTAACAAATGGGGAGAGTAGCTTCCTATCCTTGAATAACTTACCGTCCACTTCAGCCAAGCTCTCTGCAGATTGCAGAGGGGGCATTTTCAATCTGCGTAGCTCGGGTTTTCGTGCTTCCCCGAACCAAGTGAGGGGGAGGAGCCAAATTCCTTCATCTTCCAAATTCTCCAATTAGCCTGGCAACATTCGAACATCCATGATTGGGATAAAAAATTTGATTCGTTTCCCGCCTCCCTCCGGACTCTCGACTATCAGTCTGGGCATAGTCAATTCCGGGATAATCCGGAAAAAGAACTTATCATTAATTGCGGTTCTAACCATTGAAACGAGTGAAGACGGCATGGGTTGCTCAGGACCTGGAATACTTACCATTTGCAGGTGACCATCAGACTTAGGCCAAGCAATAACCCACAGGGAGTTGCGAGCATACGTGTAGAATAAGGGTAAAACCATGTTCTCAACTGATTGGAGTTGACCCCTGACCAAAGACGCAGGAGCTCTCCTCTTTCCTGATGAGCTGCCTGGTGTGCTCACCACTTTTATCCTTCCGGTAGAGTCTTCTGAGCACGGTAAAGAAGAGTCGGATGCCTCGCCTCCCTCCTGTAATCCGCATGCACTAGTGCTTCCCTCGAAGTCAGGTCGACGTTGTTTCCCCGGAGTACCATATCGTGCTGACCTTGGCAAACCAAGGCTTTCCTTGCGACCAGGGGTATTCTCAGTGGTGAGATTCCCCCTGGTGGGAGTGTTAAGCGTGCCACCTCCCCCAGCAGGCCCTACCGACTGTGATACACCCGCTCCCTCATTCCCAGCACCCTCTGGCCTTCCCCCCCCTCCTACCTCCATCATCATCCTATGCAGGGGAGGAACATTCAGGCCAGGAGCTCTGATTCCCGCGCCTTCGGCCGTGGCTGCTTGAAGATGTTGGTGATGGGCATGGAAAGAGCTCGAGCCCCCGTTCATGGGGGGGATATAGCCTCCATCTTGATGAGCGAACCAAGGTACGAACGCGTTGCCATTCCAGCTTGGCATGCCAAACTGGGTTTGAGGAACAAACTCTAACCATGGTTGACCTCCCTAGACACCAGGACAGCCTCCTGAACCCGCTGGATGGTGCGGGGAGTACATAGGATTGTCGTGCAAAATGACGAAGGGTGGATCTGAGCCTTGAACAAACGCTGGAGTTGGAGGGCGCCCTTCAACAGAAGAGGAGAGACCCTGAGGCCCCATTGGACCCTGGTACCCTTGAGTTGTTGTGCGCTGTTGTCCGCCATTGCTTGGATGGCTGCTCTGTTGCTGCTGACATGTCCCTCTTTTGCACTCGTTCTCTGTATGAAAGAATGTGCGGCAGCGTCGACACCTCGGAGTATCCGAGGATGCTAGCTTAACTTCGAGTTCGTCGCCCTCCGGAGTAATCACCCAAATCTTATCCTTCATGTTTGGGCGAGCTGCTGGGTCAATGTCAAATTTGACGTTGACGAGCGAAGGTTTCAGGCGGTCTGGTTCCGTAGGATGTGTTCGAACAATAGGGCCAATTGCCTTTGCAATCTGCGCCTCAAGGTAAAAAAGGAGTCCAGCGGCACCTGAACAGTCGTAACCCAGAAGGTGAGTAGATCCTCCTCTCTTAGTTGAGCACGTAGCTGTGCCTTCGACATCCAGGGCTTGAATTTCAGTTTATACGTGTCTTGGCCGATTGTGATCTCATCCTGGCCCTTGGTGACCATCCAAACCGCAATCGCCGTTGACTTCGCCACATAGGAGACTACGTTAGGACTCTCCACTTTTACCCTCCCTCGCCGAAAGTTCTCTGCATCGAAGCTCCCCTCCTGGATCTTGTCGTCTTCGAAGGCCCGTACAATATCGTCTTTAACTTTCTTCGGCATAAATCTCGCCTGCTCACGGAAAATTACCGTTACTGTATGTTCTTGAAGCTAGGCAATCTTCACCCTATCTATCTGCTCGCTAACCTTGAATTTTACTTCGCGACCTTCCACAATCATCTCCCCTGGATCAATGTTAGAGGGCGTAATCCCATCCTCATAGCATAACCACATTAACTCCCTAAGCCTCGCTTCTTCATCTCTATCGGTCCCAGGATCAGGAGGGGGGGAACGTGCACCACGTTGATGTGTTCCATCCTCCATCTTAGCAGTTATCCAACTTCTAAGTCCCTTTTAAACGAAGAGTAGCATCAGCCCAAAAAATGAAAGAATACACAGAGATACAAAACAACATACCAACGAGTAATTATAAACCCAACACTTATCTTGAAGCTATCACGCTTCAATAGCCGGACCTGAGCCAACCCGTCTCTATGACACCATCGCCGACCACCCCTACACAAGCGAGTGACGACGACCCTCCGAACAAGACAGAGTGGGAAAGGGTCATAACACCGTAGCGACGTCACCATGGCGGCGCTTACGGTTGACAAGGACGCGGTCGTTACCGAAGGCTTAGCGCTTGGTCCGACACGCCGTAGCGCCGGCGGAAGCCGCTTCGGCCGGTCCTGTCTCCAATTGAGTTCTGCTTTCTTCTGAACTCACCTCCACACGTGCCTCACGAATCTCGCAGATAGATTGGGCCTCGCTGCACTACTCTTGTAGCGACGTCACCATGGCGGCGCTTACGGTTGACAAGGACGCGGTCTTTACCGAAGGCTTAGCGCTTGGTCCGACACGCCGTAGCGCCGGCGGAAGCCGCTTCGGCCGGTCCTGTCTCCAATTGAGGGCATACTCACACGAGGACCAAAAGACCCAAAATCCCAAAATTTGAGTCGTTTTTCGGGTCACACTGGAGTGGCTCGGTACCCAAATGCCTCAAACCGTGACCCTTCTGTCAGCGGCCTGCGGGGCGGCGGGCGAACCCTTTTTGAGACCACCTCCGGAGGTGGTCTCAAACGACCTTTCGTTTTTTTTTTTTTCCAACGCAAAAATTCGTCTACGAAGCAGGTCTTCACTTCCAACTGTCGGGCGTGGCTGCACGTCTCTCCACATACACAAAAGACAAATGAGATGGCAATGTATCTTTCCATGTTMTAGCGCTGGATTCAGTCTCATTTTGCACATTTGCACCCAAGGCCCACGCGTTTTCGTTTTTTTTGTTTTCTTTTTTTTGGCCCATGCATTATTTTGGCATGAAGAAAAAATAAAAAATCCATCTACTGTTTTAGTCCTCTGCCGTGTGACTACACACACTTGCCCAGAGGGCGAAGTGTCAGGGTCGCGATTTCGTCCTTTCTGGACGAAGTCTGCCCGTGTGACCACAGGGGGACCAAATGGCTCAAAAAACCCCAACCAAATACCTCAAATTTTTTAGACCTTTGGTCCCGTGTGAGTATGCCCTGAGTTCTGCTTTCTTCTGAACTCACCTCCACACGTGCCTCACGAATGGAGCGACGCCCGTTGTGCCTTCACAAAGGCGCCACCAAATTGGAGAAAAACGGAAAACGGAATGATGACAAGCAAGGCAAACGAAACAAGGCCCGACAAAACCCCTTCTGCACACGTTCTCACAAACGACCGGTCTCCACCGGCCGTCTGTTCTAATTCTGGGCGCCTACCCAGTACTTCGGTCGCGTGATGATTTCCCACGCCTTTAATCCCTTCTTCATAATGTCTCCCCCTATCGGACGACCTCCCTACGCCCTGGCTACCGGTGCACGCCCGGCGACCGTTGCAGTCCACGACACAAAACGACAAAAGCCAACGGTGGTGGACGCAGCTCCTACGGGCTGCGAACTCGCTACGCCCGGGGCTTACTCGCACCCGCTCGACGTGCTTAGTCCCGCCTGCATTCTCTCTCTCTCTCTCTCTCTCTCTCTCTCCCCCCCCCCCCCCCCCCCCCCCCCCCCCCCCCCCCCCCGGCCGGGGGCCTTCACCCTTGGTTCTTCGTAGTACGTGGTCCGTGCTTCGGTGCTTTGTGGTACGTGCTTGGTGCTTCCGTGAAGCATTGTGGATTCTGTGCTTCGTCCTCGCCACTTCGTGGATTCGGTGTTTGGTGGGTGCATCGTGGGTTCGTGGTGGATTCGGTGCATGGTGCTGCGCGCTTCATGGTTCGCGAATCAGCGGTCCATGCTACTTGGTGCACCGTGCTTAGTGCTTTGGTGCTGCGTACTTTGTGAGTTGGTGCTTTCGTCAATCGGTGCTGCGTGGATCTGATTCGGTGGTTCGCGCGTGGATCGCGAGCTCATGCCAAGTGCCCCGAGGTGAGCTTCGATGTGGTTCCCTGCTAGAGTGAGTGTTTCTACTTCACCTCGCCTCGAACCCACACCTTACTGCGGGCAAGCGGGTCAGGCTATTTTGTGTGTGTGTGTGTGTGTGTGTGTGTGTGTGAGAGAGAGAGAGAGAGAGAGAGAGAGAGAGAGAGAGAGAGAGAGAGAGAGAGAGAGAGGTACCATCACCATCCCTCCTCCCTCGGCCTGTCATCCATTCCTGCCTCGACCCTCTCTCTTCCCTTTTTCACCCCTGCTCCATCGGCCCTCCCCCCTTCCTCCCTTTTTCCTTCCTTCCTTCCCTCGCTTTCTCCCTCCTTCCTCCGGTGGCGTTACGTTCCTCGGCCGTCCGTCCTCCCTCTCTTCTTGCTCCCTTATCTGGGGACGATATAGAGAGTGCATTCCGTTTTTCTTATCGTTCTCAATTTGCGTTAAGGCTTAGCGCCACATTGTTTTTTTTTCAATGTGGATAAGGGCGAGCGTGTGCTCTCGCGCGTGCGGTAGCACACAGACGCACACAGGGAGGCGTGTGTGTGTGTGTGGG